AATGGCTAAAACAGAGGAGATTCTGCTATAGTGCTGTACCCTTGAATTTCTTTTTGTCTGCTGCCTTATTTTCCCAGCTGGGATGGGTAGGGCATGGCTGGCTGGGAGGAGGGGCAAGCTGAAGACACTGTGTATTTTAATGTATTACTCACCGCTTTACCTACCCAACAAAATCACAGTAGCTGAATGAGGAAGGCAACATGGGAAGGCCAATCACAGGCTGGTTTCACATACCAGGCAGTTTCATTTCTGTGAGGGATGGCATGCTTTCAGCACCTTTCTCTAAGCCCGTTCACATGGGAAGATTGCCCCTGTTATAAAGTACATACACATTGCGGACACAAGCGAGCTGGCACATGAGGGAAAATCATCTCCTTGTCAATTAATTCCATTTGTAACAAAGCAATTTAAAGTGGTCTGGCTTGTACCGTCTCCGGGTTGCCAGGAGCCTACATCCCTCAGCAGCAGAGCCCAAAACAGAGCCTCTCCTGCCGGCTGCCTTTCCCTGCACCAGACGCCTAAAATCAGGAAATGGGAGTGGTTTTATTTGGATGAGGGTGTGTTGTAGGCAGGCGTGCAACATTGATCTTAAATAAGTGGCATTCACTTGCCAAACTTATTCCAAGAATTTTGAATGGCAAACTCTGTCTCATGGAGTGAATGCAGTTATGAGACTCTTATTGTAATCACTGGCATCGACTTCCTCACGAGGGGACATTTCTCGTTGCTCTTCTGGCGTTTATCTAAGCGAATCACGTCTAAAAGCAGCCGCGTGCCTCTCACACAAGGCACAGGGTCCCACCAGCAGTGCTCGGTGCTGCAGGGAGTCTGGAACGCCGCCTGCAGCCTAAGTCCTAGCTTGCCTGTCACTGGCAATGGAGAGTTTGCTATTAACCGCATGTACATTTCACCTTGTCCAATGGCTATTCTGCTTTCCAAAGTGGGAGCTTAATTTTATGAACACTGACTCATCACATAACTTTAAAATGCCAATTCTAGCCTTCACATGGCTTGGCTAGCAGCTAAGTTCACAATATTTCCAAGTTTTTTAAGGACAGTGTTTGTTTGAAATGGTTGTCCTGCTGAGCATGGCCACAATGCTGTTACACTGTCTGCTCAGGGACCTCTAGTGTCTGAACTCCAGCCTCCTGTATAGATATATAATTATCTAATCTTCCTTCGATTAGAATAATGGAAAAGGCCTCCAGGAAATAACCCCCTGTCATGCAGGAGAGAGGCGTGTCAGCCAGAGCGCTGCCGCCGTTTGTCAGTGGTGGCAGCTGGGCTGGACTCCTGCCTCTCCACACCTACGTCGTTTCTGCCACCTGCTTTGAGTCCCATCCTCCGCTGGCCAGCTTGGACTTCGATGTTCCGTGTTAATCACCTCCGTCTTCTCCTGCTTCCCGGCTCAAGTCGCTTGACCAGCCTTTGGATTCCACAGCTTCTGTGGTCTCTGGAATGAGGTCCACAGCTGGGCTTCCTGCCCTCAAGCTCTTCTTGATTCTCCACTGCCATGTAGCTCTTTAGAAATCTTAGGCCAGCATGGATTCTTCCTGTCCCTCATGCATCATCCATGACCATGTTCTTCCATCGTGCCTTGAAATGTTTCCGACGCATGCGTGCATGCCGACAGAGACCTGGAAATGTTTCCAGTGTGTGCTTGCATGCCGACAGAGGCCAAGAGGATGGAGTTGTGTGAAGGCTGCAATCAGAGGATGGGGCGAGGGCCCACGGGATGAATTAACAAACTGGCGCTTCATCCATGGGGTGTTAGCCTAGTGCTCCTAGAACCCAGGTTTCTTAAAACAATGGGAAATTTGAATTTTATGTAAAATCATCCAATTTTTAATATATGTTGAAATTTAACATAACATCCTTTACCTTATCCTAAGAGTTACATTTCTGAAAGAAAAATATCATCTAACTTTTTAGTGTCACCCCATTGTTGATTCTTTGACGGCAGGAGGTCAGTGCTAACTGGCACAGATGCTGGTTATTTACCACCACTGGTGCCCTGGTCAGGTCCACCTCCTTACACAGGCCTTTCACCATGGCCTTTACCGCTCTCACCCCCACACGGTTGAACATAAATAGATGCCAGCCACGCCCAACCATGAGACTTGCTCCACCAAGATGCCTCTCAATTGCTGCCCACAACCAGTCCCTTCCCTCCCCATCCCTTTTTCTTCCTTCTTTACAAATGCTTGTTAAAATTTTAATTTTCTTTCCGAAATATAATTTTTATTTTAAATTAAGAACAATAGCCTGGCTGGTGTGGCTCAGTGGTTGAGTGTCAACCAACCCATGAACCAAGAGGTCGCCTTTCGTCAGGGCATATGCCAGGGTTGCGGGCTTGATCCCCAGGAGGATGTGCAGGAGGCAGCCAATCAATGATTCTCTCTCATCATTGATGTTTCTATCCCTCTCCCTTCCTCTTTGAAATCAACAAAAATAAAGGTTAAATTAATAAATTAATTTAAAAATCCCCAAATATTCGTCCTTTATCTTACTACCATTTTCCCTACCTTATCTAGCCTTCTTTCAATTTCTCAAACATGGAAGAGCTCTTTCCGATCACAGGGTTTCTCTGTTGTAAATGCTTTTTCTCAACCGTTTGCATAATTGGCTTCTCTTTCTTCAGGACCCAACTTAAAGCTCACCCTCTTTTAAGAAAAGGGTGACCACCCTGACCACCCTGGATAGACTATCCCACCCCAGTGTTGTTTCTCAAGGCACTCTGCTTATTTCCTTCCTCACACCACCACGACTTGTGATTGCATATTTATCCGTGTTCATTCTTTTCCTGTAGAGGTACAGAGGGCAGGATTGCTCATTAGCGCATACCTAGACCTCGCTGAAGGCCTACGCAAGTGGCAGTTCTGCTGTACTTAACACATAATAGATGGATCGTAGATTCACTAGACACACCCAAAAGGCCAGGGTACTGCTTTAGAGCACAATGACAAATCCATAAGTGCCATTGTTATTAAGAATCTTGTGAAACTTATCTCATGGCTCTGCAACCTTCTATGCTATGCCTCCCTACCTCTATTACACTTCTTTGTTCTTTCCCACTTGGGTCTCCGATTAAATTATACAGTCTTTGCTTATTTTGTATGAAAAGTTTATAGGCCAATTAAATTGTTTTCAAGGGATATTAAAAGCCTATTTTTTTAATAATTTAGCATAAATCACTTACATTCTGACCTTACTACTCTGATATGATTCTTGTTGAACATTTAAAAGTATCTTTTGAAAGTTATAGAGTGGGTGAAGTTCTTCTAGATAAGTGGCCTCATTATTTTTTTTTTTTATTGCTTAAAGTATTACAAAGGGTATTACATATGTGTCCATTTTATCCCCCCGCCCTAGACAGTCCCCTAGCCTCCCCTATCCCCCAATGTCTTATGTCCACTGGTTATGCTTATATGCATGCATACAAGTCCTTTAGTTGATCTCTTACCCCCCTACCTTCTGCCCCGCAACCCTCCCCGGCCTTCCTGCTGCAGTTTGACAATCTGTTTGAGGCAGCTCTGCCTCTGTATCTATTATTGTTCGAAAGTTTATAATGGTCTCTATTATCCATGAATGAGTGAGATCATGTGGTATTTTTCCTTCATTGACTGGCTTATTTCACTTAGCATAATGCTCTCCAGTTCCATCCATGACGTTGCAAATGGTAAGAGTTCCTTCCTTTTTAGAGCAGCATAGTATTCCATCGTGTAGATATACCACAGTTTTCTAATCCATTCATCTACTGATGGAAGTGGCCTCATTATTAACTATTTACAATTTATATGTAACTATATTTTAAACTAGAGGCCCGATGCATGAAATTCATGCAAGGGTAGGCCCTCGTAGCCCCAGCTGCCTCGGCCCTTGCGGTCCCAGCTGCCTCGTGGCCCTGCTCCCCACCCACTGGCTGTTCCAGAAGGTTGTTCCGCTGTCCAGTCTAATTAAGCATATTAGCTCTTTATTATATAGGACTAGAGGCCCAGTGCACGAAATTCAGGCACTTGGGGGAGGTCCCTCAGCCTGGCCTGCGCCCTCTCACAGTTCTGGAGCCCTCAGAGGATGTCCAACTGATGGCTTAGGGGAGCAGCCTAAACCATCAGTTGGACATCCTTAGTGCTGCCACAAAAGTGGGAAAGGCTCCCGCCACCACCACTGAGCTCACCAGCCATGAGCCTAGCTTCTGGCTGAGCGGTGCTCTCCCTGTGGGAGCGCACTGACCACCGGGGGCAACTCCTGCATTGAGCATCTACCCCTGGTGGTCAGTGTGCATCATAGCGACCGGTTGTTCCACTGTTCGGTCGATTTGCATATTAGCCTTTTATTATATAGGATAGTTTGGCCTAGTGCTGGAACAAATCCTGACCTCTCTGTAGATTAGATTTCGATATTCGGATTTTATGGTCATTATGCAGTTTGCCGTTGGTTCATTCCTTGTTGCCACTTGGTGCTTCCCTTGGAGACTGGAATGCTTCTTGCTCTGGGGTGCTCTCCCAGGTTCCACTAGGCTAAACTGGTCACTCTTCTGCATCCTTGTAACTTGTTACTGTAATGTGACGCTATGGCACAAAAAATGTCAAAATCAGGGGCCTCCAGTTTAAGACCTGCTTACTGTCTTGGCTAGTCATTTAACGCACTGACCCTCACTTTCCTCATCTATCAAATGGAGGTGATAATGCCCACTTTCCTCAGCCAAAGAATTAAATAGACAATATATGAGACTGCTCTAATTATCCACACTACATGGGCAGCAGTAATATGTGTGATTGGAAAGGATGACCTTCTTCGTGTGCTTTTAAACCTCATTCTGCTTAGAATTTAGTTTTATGCAAAAGCGAATTCTGTCTCTATAGTTTACGGACAGTGATCAAACGCCCGCGTGTACAAATCTAGAAAGTGCATGTTTGAATTCAGCTTCATTTGTCCTGATCTCTGTGTTGAATCAAAGGCTGTTCCAGGAAAGAACAACTATTAATGCTTTTTTGTAGAGTCTGCCTCCTCGTGCAGGATGCCTACGGAATGTTTGGCGAAGTACACTCAGAGGGCACCATCTTTAAGGACAGACGGTTGGAGGGGCAGTCCTGCCGCCTGGCGGGCATGAAGGTGCTGCAGAAGGCCATCCGAGGAAGGTGAGGACGCACTGGAACAGCATCCAGCTTGCCACAATGACTGGTTCTTTTATTCGTATTTTATCTGTAATTTTATTTTTAAAGACAATAAACTCTAGGACAGTGGTTCTCAACCTTCCTAATGCCACGACCCTTTAATACAGTCCCTCATGTTGTGGTGACCCCTAATTTCATTGTTACATATTGAACATAATTAAAGCATAGTGATTAATCACAAAAACAATATGTAATTATATATGTGTTTTCCGATGGTCTTAGGCGACCCCTGTGAAAGGGTCGTTCGACCCCCAAAGGGGTCGTGACCCACGGGTTGAGAACTGCTGCTCTAGGATCTTGGAATTTGCCTGTAAAACAGGACAGAAGTTGAGTGGGGCCCATGAAGTACCTGTGGGGAAAATGGTAATGACAGCAAGAACAGGTATGCAGGTGTAGCAATTCATAATTTTGTGAAGATTAAGAAGATTTAGAAATGTTAAGTATGTATATTTTAATTCTAAAGATTTTTCATATGTTGTTCTAGCTCTAACAAGTCAGCTTTATATGAGTCTGTTTATGTAAATGAAATTTTGTGAAGAGGCATCTTAACAGCTTTAAGTTAAACTCTTAAGTTGTCATACAATTTGCTCTCCATAGTAAGAAAGCTTTGTTATCCGCCAAGGTTCAAGGTTCACCCTGAAACGTGGTTTTGGATAGGCAGAGGTGGAATGGTATATAAAGCTGCCCAGACTGTGGCTCCCACATCTCCAATTACCTTCTTAATCCATGGTTTCGGGAAGAGAAGAAATGTTTTTAATGGAACTATTCAGGCATATAGAGAATTAGTGTAAACCCTGAAGTGGGTTTTCTCAATCTTATTGTGTAACCTCTCTTTCCTCAAATAGTGTCTTATTTTAACTCTCTTAATGTTAATGTTGTGTTTAATTATGGTGACATCTGAGCTTATAACAGTGTCTGAGGGCGGGAAAAAACATTATGAGTATCTGGTATTCTGATTTTGAAGCCGGTGTGGATAACGTCTTTCAGGGGTTTGTATAATGACCCTTCCAGCCATGGTTCTGGATTGTGAGCATTTACTGAGCATTACGGACTGACCCCTGTAGTCAGGCAGCTTTCTCACAGGCCTCAACTCTGTCCCCTCCTTCCATATGCGCTTGCAGATGGGTGATGGCTCTACCCAAGAGCTTGTTTTTCTGAAAGATGTATATTTCATAGACAGATCTCCTGTAAGCTCTGGCTAGATACAACAATAGTTTATTGATCCATGTAGATTTGTCTCGTGATAAACGCTTCTGTTGTTTATAAAAGGATAGCTGTACTATAATGTAATTGCCGTATAGATTGGGGCAGGGTGGGAGGGGCGGTGCCCAGATATTTGGAAAGCATGCTAGACGTTGGGTCATGTGAACCTTATGCTTCCTAAGGCTGAACCTCATTTTAGTCCTCGGAATCTCAAGCAGCTGAAAAGACTAAGTGTGGTCCTGGTAACAGTTATCGCTGCCTTGGCACTGACCTGACATTAACCCCATCAGGGCCATTTAGGGAGTTCTCTTCCTTGGTAGGAACTCTGCAGGTGAGCCTCCAACCTGAGCACACGGGGTCACCAGCAGGCTCTCGGGTGGGAGAGCCTTGCCATGGGCAGGTTTCCTGCTCTGCTCTGGGAGACGCTCTTCCTGCTGGAGACGGTGGGACATAGCTTCCCGTGGAAGTACTGCAGCCAGGACTGGAACCCAGGGGTCTTTGACTCTGTAAAGTTCGTGTTCTTCTATCATGTGTACCTGATAACATTTAATGGAGTGTTTGTGGAGAACACTGAAAGCTTTACTACTAACTACAACATTGCCATAGGAAACCTTTTCTCCATGGGAAATGCACTGTGTATTTCAAATAATTCATTTACAAACTTTTGAAAGCCATTCCTTTTATAGATGGTGACTAAATATCTGATGCCCTTTTTTGCTTGGGATTAATTTCTTTATCTTATATGTTTAACGTTGTTTTGGTATGGGGCCATCCAAATATTTATTTAGATTATCTTTTCTTTTGGAAGCTATATTGCTTCAAACAATTTATTAGATAGTTTTGGAATGCTGGGTGTTATAATTGTGATATTATCCATTGTCAGTCAGTCATCCATCTGTGGCCCAGTAAACACAAATTGTCTGTCTTCCCCCCCCCCAAAGTACTGTATTTCTTAGCAACTCACATAAACTATAACAAAATATACTTCTCATAAACCTAATACACTTACTTCCAAAAATTCAAGCTAAAATTATTAGTTATAATTATATAATTTCAATATCTAATACAGAAAATAACTTTTTTTGCCAGTCGGAAGAGAGTTGTGTGTTTAGGCTAATCATGGAGTCTTTTAGATTTTGGCCAGCAGATTTCATCGGGTCTGTGATTATAGTGATGGAAACCACTATTCCACACAATGGGCTTGAAGTGGACTGGTGACCTCAGAGCTGCTCATTCAGACAGAGCTGTTGGACCACTCTGCAGGGAGCATCGCTCTGTGACCTGCTGCATTTGGGATGGCTTGCAGAAAAACAGCCATTGTATCTTTTGTGTTTCTCTGACATATTTGTGGAGATGAGTGTTTATACTGACTGGGTAAAATACAAAGAGTCAGAAAAATAGTCTGGGTCTTCAGGAAAAAACTACCATTTTCCAAACAACTGTGAAGCATGCCTGCTAAGCAGGACATGGACCTCTGCCTGTGCTTTCCTTCTCTCTAGGGCGTCCCCGCTGTTTGTTCAGTGACTTCTCTAAGGTGCACCCCTGACCTTTGCCCTCCCAAGTGGCTGTGCTGCCGTTTAGTAGGTCAGACAAGCTGAAAAGTCACCTTATTTTGGAGTCATTCTGTGTATGAACTTTATCTTTTTATTGCGAATTATTCTTTTCTTTTGCTATGATAAGGCAACACTGGGGGGGGGGGGATTTCCTGAAATATGTTAACCCTATAGACATGGAAACTATAGCTAGTAAAATTTTTTGTGGGGAAGGTAACCTCTTTAAATTCAAAATCCTAGTAGTATATATGTTTCAAATTATTAAACAAAACTACTAATCTCTGTGCCTAAAACATTAATTTATAGTTATTGTTTTATTTAGAGCTCATGAATGCCCGTTACGAGTACCATATCGGAGGGACTTTACTACAGCGCTTAGTCAGGATTCACTGTACACAGAGGGCTCTCCCTGAGGGCGGGCTGAGAATGACACAGAGGCAGTAGATACCATCTTTGGCCTTGAATTGCATCCCCTAGAACAGAAAACTAGATAAGCACAAGTATTTGAGCAGTTGCTGCTTTAAATGACTAGATTTTAACTGGCTGATCTCAGAAGATTTCATGAAAGAAGTGAGTGAGAACAAATGCCGTACACATCTTCATCTGGCAGGAGACATTTTCTTCAAACTGGTGAAATGTTACCTGTGGAGACATAAAAGTAGGACTAGGAAAGATATATGCAAAAGAGGAAGAAAGAAGGTATTGAAACAGCAATTCACTCATTTATTCTAGAAATACTTAGTAGCTCTGGGTGCTATGCCCCTGGATAGCTACTGCAGCATTGAGCTATATTAGATTTGGTGGATTTATCCTAGACCAGAACATACTGAGGTATAAAGTCAGCTAGATAAAGCCAGTAAAGTCTTAAGTCCTATTAGGGTCATTATGAGTTTTTTTGAGAGAAGAAAAGAGGTAATGAAAATGAAGTTAAGATTATCCTACTATTGTAGCTGTAATAGATTTGACATAAAGGGAGAGATTGGGGCAGGGCTACCAGTTTGGAAACTTCTGCAGCAATTGAAGGAAGAACAAGGAACCAGTTACCAGTGGATTTTGAATGCATGACTCCTCCGGGCAGCTGCGGTAGGAGCTGTGGCAGATGCCAAGAGTATAAAATAGGCCACTTCCTCCAAGAGCTCATAGACCAGCAGGAGAGCCCAGGAGGAAACCCAGAAAGACACCAACTGGCAAGTGCCTCATACAAAGAGCTGTGGTCGGATGGCCACCTTTAAGAGAGGTTTAGAGGGTGGGTTAAGATTTAGGAACCCTGCAGAGAACTGGAAAGGCCTAGGACTAGGACTAGAAAGAGGAAGGGAGGAAGGACAGCCTCTATTGTCTAAACATCCATTTGCCTCTCTTAAGAAAGTATGAAGTTAAGATAGCACTGGTGTCTGGTCAATTTTAATGATCGAGTAAGGGGTTGGGCACTTGGGAGGAGGTTACGTTTTAGAGCAGTGGTTCTCAACCTTCCTACTGCCGCGACCCTTTAATACAGCTCCTCATGTTGTGGTGACCCCCAACCATAAAATTATTTTCGTTGCTACTTCATAACTGTAATTTTGCAACTGTTATGAATCGTAATGTAATTATATATGTGTTTTCCAATGGTCTTAGGCGATCCCTGTGAAAGGGTCGTTAGACCCCCAAAGGGGTCGCAACCTACAGGTTGAGAACCGCTATTTTAGAGACTGATCCAATAAATAGTTATTGTTTAAATATCAGCTTTTGTTTTCAAGGTAACCCATGAAATACTGATAAATTTTATACTAGAAGCCAAGCTTAGTCAACATGCCCAAACACTAACCCAATGGTCAGGGAAAAAAAGTCCCTTAGACGTCCTCCTCCCAGTCCCCAACCACTGTACTTGTGGCCTTTGCATGGCGTAGACAATCAATCAATCAATAAATATTGACGTCAGTGAGAATGACTAGTGGCAAGTATTTCAGTCTGGCCTGCCAATTATTAATTAGGCTCTTAAGGGCAGGAGCTGTTTCTTGCTCACCATCGTATTTCTTGTTTGCAGACTCTGTTCTCACCCCCTTCTTCCAGAAGAGGGCCTGAAACAGAGATGAGGTTGATTGATTACCTAAGAGTCACACAGCTGACTAGGGGTCAAGCTCTGGTGTGACTCTGGGTTGCGGGTTCCGGGGTGTTTGCTTAATCCATTTATTTTTTAGTGTTTTTGTTGTTACTGTGAACTGACAGTTA